TAACCATTAAACCTGATAGTTTGAGGTGTGACAAGCTGCGAGGGACAGAGAGGTCATTTGGCCGGCCGGCCAGCAGTGTGTTGAACCCCAGGCCCAGGCTTTTCTTGCCGATGCAAGACTTGGAGATAATGGGGCCCTCAGGGCTGGTGTTGATACTGACCACTCTCGGCCGATAACCTTTATCCATCATCGACTTGGTAAACAAGTGGTTAATAAAAAAAAAACGAATTATTAATCTGGATATGGTTGAATTCGGATCGGTTTACTTAACGAATGTGGGCGGACGACAGTATGTGTGAACGATTAGACATTAATGTTAATTCTCTGGTAATTACAAGAGTATATATATATATATATATATTTTTTTTTAATCTATTATTTTGAACATATGTTTGTAATCGCCTGCACTCGCTAAAGCGGAGAGTTCAACGATGAAACAATAGCCTACAGTATATAAAACATTACTTAAACAATATAAATTGACTAAAATTGAAGAAACGAAAACAAAAAAGTAAATAAATACACAGGTTGCGCATCTACGTAAATATGCTTAGACCTACACGTTATGGGCATACCCAACGTATGCTTACATAAATATGCGCAGATTTGCAGAAGTAAAATCACTTAAATATGCACTTTGATTTATGCAATACCATACACATTTTTGATAAGAAATCCATCTGAAAACGACACAAATACTCTGCTAAATAGCAGTACAGTACCGTAATATACTGCTGCTGTACAATAATACTTTTTATCTTTGAAAAGTGTGTAAATTATGAACAAAATAACTACATTTTGAGCCTGAAATTGGCAAAAAAAATAAGAACACCGAGCCTGGACAAAATTTTACTAGTTCTTGTAAAGAAGTGTACGGTAATTCATGTAGAAACATTTTAAATATTGACAAAATTTACCTTGAATATCAGCTTATTAAAATATCATTTCGTTATTAGGTACAGAGCTTATATATGACAATGTTTAAAACATTCAAAAAGGAAAAATGAAAATGGTATAAATATATATAGGCCTAAATGTGAAAGTAAAGCGAGGCTATAGGCCCTAATCTGCTCTAAGTGCAATAACATCATAGAGCCAAGCATGCCTATAAAATAGATGCCATACGTCATGGGATCACTTATTATTTTATTTTATTTGGCCTTGTATTATTAGACCTAATAATATCTTCATTATAATTAAAATCGCATAAAATATTAACAAATCAATCATGAACTTATACTGAAAGTAGATCAATCACCCGTACATTGTTCATATTGGCTGATCGATGTGTGGCATCTCAACTAATTTTAAAATCCGCAAATACATTTGGGAAAATTAATCTTGGCTTAAATTATATTGTGTGATATTCGTCATAAACATAGGCCTAGTTACCCTACATAACACACTCAGAGTCAACCAAGTCACTGACTTGTCTTTTTTTTTGGTTCATACTCAAGCGATCATTAGCGATAAGGCAATAATAATGCTGTTGCTATTTATAATAGCACGGTATGTGTAACACAATGTAACCAGGATAATGCACTGTGTTATGCCAATCGAATTCTGTTCCATTTAGATATGAAACTGGTCTGGCACTCATCCAAGCAGTCACGTGTCAAAATTTACGACAACGGGATCAATATCCTCTATTTTTCTATTTCTACTTTTTTTTCTATTGCTCTTTACATCAGTCCTGTACAATATAACAGTATATACAAAACATATAAACAAAAAACAAGGTAGAATGATAACTTTATATTGCTCATTACTTCTGGGTATATATATATATATATATATATATATATATATATATATATATATATATATATATATATATATATATATATATATATATATATATA